TGGGGCACCCACAGCCTCCCCTGGGCACCCACAGCCTCCCCCTGGGCACCCACAGCCTCCCCTGGGCACCCTCAGCCTCCCCTGGGCACCCACAGCCTCTCCAGGCACCCACAGCATCCCCTGGGCACCCTCAGCCTCCCCTGGGCACCCACAGCCTCTCCAGGCACCCACAGCCTCCCCTGGGCACCCACAGCCTCCCCCTGGGCACCCACAGCCTCCCCTGAGCACCCACAGCCTCCCTTGGGCATCCACAGCCTCCCTTGGGCACCCACAGCTTCCCTTGGGCACCCTCAGCCTCCCCTGGGCACCCACAGCCTCCCTTGGGGCACCCACAGCCTCCCTTGGGCACCCTCAGCCTCCCCTGGGCACCCACAGCCTCCCTTGGGGCACCCACAGCCTCCCTTGGGCACCCTCAGCCTCCCCTGAGCACCCACAGCCTCCCTTGGGCACCCTCAGCCTCCCTTGGGCACCCACAGCTTCCCTTGGGCACCCTCAGCCTCCCTTGGGGCACCCACAGCCTCCCTTGGGCACCCACAGCCTCCCCTGGGGCACTCACAGCATCCCCTGGGCACCCACAGCCTCCCCTGGGGCACCCACAGCCTCTCCTGGGCACCCACAGCCTCTCCTGGGGCACGCACAGCATATCCCGGGCACCCACAGCCTCCTCTGGGCACCCACAGCCTCCCTTGGGCACCCACAGCCTCCCTTGGGGCACCCACAGCCTCCCCCTGGGCACCCACAGCCTATCCCAGAGCACTCACAGCCTTCCTGGGGCACCCACAGCATATCCCGGGCACCCACAGCATCCCCCTGGCATCCTTCCTGGGCACCCACAGCTTCCCTTGGGGCACCCACAGCCTCCCCTGGCACCCTCCCTGCCCCAGCTGGGGAGGGGGCTGCCCTGGGAACGGCCTTGCCCCGCTGGAAGGGGAAGGGGCTTTGCTCCGGTCTCTTATCAGCCGCTTGGCAGAGCCTGGGTGTGTCCGGCGCTGATAGCCCCGGCTGGGGGATGGATGTCTGCTCTCCCCCTGCTCTCCCCCTGCTCTCCCCCTGCCCTTCCCCGGGGCCCTTTCCTGCCTTTGTTCAGGGCGGGAAGTGGGGAAGGGGCGGCGGGTGGGAAAGGAGGCGCTGAGCACACCACACACACGGCTGTCACCCCAAATGTGTGAGAACAGGGGTGTTGGACACACCCAGGACATGCCACATGTGTGAAACAGCGGGGTCACAAGGTGCTGTGCCAGCAGGATGGCACTGGCTGAGCACCCAAGTCTCTCCCCTCTAAGATTTCCAAAATCCCCAATAAAATCCACAAAAGTGGTTGAGTTTTGAAGGGGCATGGTGTGAGCAGTGCCCTGGCTAGCCGGGATTTTGCCCCAAGCAGGGTTTGTTGCCCCGTGCTGTGCAGATCAGGACGTGCCCCCTGCTTCAGCCTGGCTGTGGCAGTGCAGGGGCTGAGCCAGGAGGGCAGCCCTGGCCCTCRGGTCACTTTGAGGTGACATTGGGGCTGTCCTGCAGGTGATAAAGGAAGCCAGCAGTCCGGCAGCRGGCGGGATGGAGGCGCCCACCTCCCCAGTGATGCCGTGCAAGATGGACCTGGATAAGGTGAGGGGTTTTTGGGGCCTCTGTTGAGGGCTGTGGGGGGCTGATGTGGCCAGACCCGGGGAACGCAGGGCTGGAGGACCCCAAACCCTTTCCCATTGTCATGGGAGGACTGGGAAGGGGAAGTCTTGTGCCCCAAAGAGCAGGAGGGATGAAATGTGGGGATTTTTCCCTTTGGAGACATTCCTG